GTACTGGTCAGTTACTCTTGTTGGGACTGATCGACCAGTAATTTGTCGAGATGGCCACTTTATATCCGGAAGATTGAAGTCTCCACCAAGTATGAAGTAAGAACACGTGTGTTTGTTCCGAATTTCAGTGATATCATTGATTAGTGAGAATGTATAATCATCGTCAACCCTGTTTGGTGGCCTATATGCAGAAGTGATGATTGCTGATTTGCTGTTATGGAGGTTAACTTTGATGCTGATCATCTCAGCTTCTTTCCCACAGTCTACTGCAGAGCTGGTAATATTCTGTCTTACAGCTATCAACACACCACCATGCGGATCTGAAGGCCTATCCCGTCTGTATACTTGGTACTCGCTTGGAATAAACTCAGATGAGGCCATGTCAGCTGTTAACCAAGTCTCTGTTCCAAAAATAAAATCTGGATTTGCTGAATCTATCAATGTCTCTAAGTCTGCAACTTTGTTTTTAACACTCTGAAAGTTTATATTAACAATACGTAATTTATTTGATTTAACACTCTTTGTTTAAGTTTTTGCGATGTTTAGGAGATGATGTGGCCATGGGGCTGCCAATAGATGAATTCACAGAATTATCACCTGTGTGACTGACTGATGATCTATCAGGAGTATTAACCAGTACTGAAAAGGAGTTAGACACAGACATGATGGATTTACAAAGAATGGTTGAGTGATTGGGGACATCACAGGTGGTACAAGTCCAGCTGATAGAGGTGTTTGCAAGGGTTTCATATCTGGATGATGACATTCCCATGCATGATGAGTGGAACCACTGATCACAGTTGTCACATGTGATTGCCTTCTGTCCCCATCGACTTTTTACATATACCACAAGGATATTTAATTGATCTTGGGCCTGGGTTTGTCTCTATGCCACTGATAATAAGCATGATTGTAATGCTGTGATGTTTAGCTTTAAAGTCAGGCATTGAGTAATGATTACTTTTACAGTTCAATATCCAAAAATAGCATGCCGTATTGGAGGAAATTCGGGTGGTGGGTACACAACTGATGTAACCTATTTGCTCACCTACCAGGCATGGGTTGGTGTTGTTCCCATCTCTGGATCTGTGCATTAACAATGCTAATTGCAGTAGCAAAACCAACATGATAGAACTTATACAACTGGGGAGGCAGTTACGAATATGATGTTGTTTACGTATGATACGATACCGGAAGTAGCCTCTACGTACCTTCATTGCTTTGTTCTAGAATTTGCCTGAAGGAAAATATCTGGTCTGTGCATGATTTTCCTTTTCTAAATCCAGCTTGTTCGTTACGAAGGTATGGGTCTACCACTGAGGCCATTCTTTAAAGATGACTCTGCTTAAGACTTTGCTGGTAACTGACAACAACATAATCCCTCTCCAATTATTTGTGTCAGCTAGGTCACCTTTCTTGGGCAGCTTCACTATGAGACAAACCTTCCAATCATCTGGTGCTGTTTCTGTCTGCCAAATAGTTTGCAGGATATCTGTGAGAAGTCTGGGTGTTAATACTACCTCAGCTTTTAACATTTCTGCATGTACTTGATCGATCCCTGGGGCTTTCCCATTCTTAAGAAGTTTAACGGCATGTTTTACTTCCTCAATTGTTGGTGTGTTGGTATCAATGTCCAAAGTGTCTATAGCTTCAATAATTTCAGCATGTTCTGTTGATGGACATTCCTGGTTTAATACCCTTTCAAAATGCTCTTTCCAACAAGTAAGCTCTTCTTCTATACTAGCGGCCAATACTCCATCTTGTTTCCGCACTGGTGTATCTGTGCTTTCAAATCCAAGTGCAATTACTTTCACACAATAGGTATTAATTGATACCAGTTATTTAATTACAACAAGTACATGTAGTATAAAACATTAATTTTTGAATAAACTTCATTGGTCATGAGTATGCCATTTTAAATGACAGATGATTTGAAACCATTGTTTAGCAATTATCGTACCTAGCTATAAAGTGCTTGCGGGAAAATGGTAAAATCATATTTCTATGACGTGAACATTAAGTTCCGTAAGTTGTAAAGAGTTAAAGGTATGCTGTGTAAAGATCTTACATAATTTTGGCAATGGGGGACTTTCAAATTTACTTAGACATTAAAGTTATTTTTTTGTCCCCCGCTTTCGCGAAAGCAGGGGACATTAAATCTCATTCGTCTGTCCGTCTGTCTGTCCGTCAGTCTGTCCGTCCGTCACAAAAACTTTAACCTTGCCCATAACTTTTGATTCAGTGGAGCTATGACTTTCATATTTCACATGTGTATTCCTTCGACAAGACATTTCTTTGGGTACCACCAAATTTGACCTTGACCTTGGAGTATGACCCACTTTTAAACAAAAATTCCAAACTTTTACTTTGGTCATAACTTTTGAATGGTAGATACTAGGACTTTCATATTTCACATATGTATTCTTTGTAGCAAGACCTTTAATTGGATACCAACAACTTTGACCTTTTGACCTTGGAGATTTCCGTACTTATGAAAAAACTTTAACCTTGCTCATAACTTTTGAATGGTAAGGGCTAGGGCTTTCATACTTCATATATATAATTCTTGTGAGAAGACCTTTCATTGAATACCAAGAACTTTGCCCCTTGCACCTTGACCTTGGAGTTTGACCTACTTTTCAAAGACTTTGACCTTGGCCACAACTTTTGAACAGTAGATACCAGGGCTTTCATATTTCACATATGTATTCTTTGTGGCAAGACCTTTCATTTGATACGAACAACCTTGACCTTTTGACCTTGACCTTGGAGATTTTTTGTACTTATGAGAAAACTTTAACCTTGACCATAACTTCTGAATGGTAAGGGCTGGGGCTTTCATACTTCACATATGTAATCCTTTTGAGAAGACTTTTCATTGGATACCAAGAACGTTTACCCTTTGACCTTGACCTTAGTGTTCAGTGATAATTTCTAAATAGATGACTTATGATAGGGCGTTCATATTATACACAAAATTTCATAAAAAATGACATCTTACCCAAAAAGATACCGAAAGCGGGGGACCACAATTCTTTGAATTTGCTTTTTTTACTTATGTATTCGACTATTCAATTTTGCAAGGATTTGTGACAAGATTTGTTGAATTAGACTGACCGGTTGGTTCAGTCCAAGAGGCCTCACGAACAAAACAGCAAATAATTTTAAGAAACAAACAGAATAGCAATTACAAGAAACACAAAAATCAGTTAAAAATTATAAATGTAATTTAATTTACAATTTGATTCATGACAAGCAAATTGAGTGCAACTGTACTTTTATCATCCAGTGATAAATTTCCAAGGTCGATCTGTCTAAAATTAGAGGAAACTAATTTGGAAACAAGGCCTCTCCCAAACGATATTACTTATCTGAGAATCCATTTCCAGAACATTAAACCCATCCTACGCCTGACTTTTGATGTTTAGCTCTAGTATTTCACCTCTAAAATCCTGTCACATAACAGGGCATTCCTACGTCTTTCTATATAGAAAGAAGTGTCATCCCCGATCTGAAAACGAATTCTTTGAAACTGCAGGAAATCTTAGAATAGGCGATTTCATTGAAGATACATGCGTGTATTTTTCTGATCTTTTCAAGTGTCCAAATGTGAAACTCTGTCAAGAAAACACGATTAATTTAAATTCAATAACCATTTACATTTTCTTGTCTACGACAAGAACAGTAAAATATGCTTATAACGAAAACATTGATAGTGAATTTACACTTTCAGTTTTTTTTAGGCAAAGTGTGTTGAGTTGGCTTCTACGAAATAGAATAAATCTAGCTTAAGATACGTTAGCATGATATAAAATTAGAAGTAATATATAGAATTTTGCAATTATAGGAAACGCTTTATACGTGCATTATAAAATATATTTGAAGTACGTATAGAAGAAACTTAATTTCAGTATAAGTATAAAAGTCGTACAAATTTCATCAAATGTCTGGAAAGTTCACATTTATTCAACACAAGATTTTTAGAACCTGTAGATTAGTCTACCTAATTTACGAAAAAAATGCAGAAATTGGTTTCTTCATTTTTTGATTTTGTTTTTTGATGGACAAACTGGTTAACCCCCGCTTAAAAAGCAACTCCTCTCATACAACTGAATGAAGTTTGATGAGACTTTCACAGAATCTTTATTACATATTGCCAGTGTGACCTCCTATTTTACTTTTTGATCCGACACACTTATTTCTGGTTTCCCATAGCAATACATGGACACTGTCATTATATTTATTTGGAAGGCGGGGGTATCATTTAGTGAGCTCTTTGCTCACAATACCTATTCATTTATTTTTTAATATTTTAGTATGACAAAGTGCTTATTACGGTATATAGAATTGAAGTCTATATATTACTCTTCTGGAAGTCTTGCTAAATGCATATTCCATACTTGTGCAAATATTTCATCAAATGTCTGGAAAGTTCACATTTATTCAACACAAGATTTTTAGAACCTGTAGATTAGTCTACCTAATTTACGAAAAAAATGCAGAAATTGGTTTCTTCATTTTTTGATTTTGTTTTTTGATGGACAAACTGGTTAACCCCCGCTTAAAAAGCAACTCCTCTCATACAACTGAATGAAGTTTGATGAGACTTTCACAGAATCTTTATTACATATTGCCAGTGTGACCTCCTATTTTACTTTTTGATCCGACACACTTATTTCTGGTTTCCCATAGCAATACATGGACACTGTCATTATATTTATTTGGAAGGCGGGGGTATCATTTAGTGAGCTCTTTGCTCACAATACCTATTCATTTATTTTTTAATATTTTAGTATGACAAAGTGCTTATTACGGTATATAGAATTGAAGTCTATATATTACTCTTCTGGAAGTCTTGCTAAATGCATATTCCATACTTGTGCAAATATTTCATTTAAATTCTGTCTTTTGGCTAGTTGTATGGGAGAAAATAAATTAATCAACAATTCTAAATCGTGTACACAGGCCTTGATTAGTTATAAAAGGACCAATGTAGATAAGTCTGAATGTCAATAAAACGGGTCAAGGTAACATTGAATTCACAAATGAAAATTCAAGATTTGCGTCGGAGGAATGATGAAGTTGAGGGGCAGGTAAGTTAATAATTATTGATATCTACTTCCTTTGAATAAACTGACAATTGTACATTTTCATTGTGTTATTTATATCCATTCCAATGATTTTCTGATTTATACAAACACTCCTCATATTCATTCTTTGCATAATGTATAATATACAACATTGAAACCGGTAAATGAATAGTCTTCGTACTATACAAATTGGCAAATAATGTGCAAGTAATTGTATGTTTAAAGTTTGATTGCAAATGATGAAGTAAATTTACTGATACAACCCATTTTCCATTTATTAAATGTGCATCAGATTGTACTGATAAGGCAATGAATCCAATAAAAATACAGCGCAATTTTGCTTAAATTCAACCGATAAAAGGGAACTAACCAGAAGGTACTTCACCTCAGTAAACATTCTCTTTCTATGTACTGTTCATTGGCTCTGTACATGATCTTATAATGTTGTTTGAAAAAATATGAACCTACTTTATATATAGCGCTTAGAACATATAAAGAGCGATCGACTACATAGTATATATGCCTTAGGCCACACCAAATTAATTTCCTGTTCGTCGGACATTTGATGAAAAAAGTACGAGCGGGCTAGCGGTTAAATAATATTAGTATTACTTTATTGTAGGCAAAATTTTTAGGCGGGGCATGAGAAAAATTGAGCGGAGAATTATATTTTTTTCTGATTTGCAGAGTAAGTAGATTAAAAGTACGATAAATAGAGCGGAAATGGAACAGAAAACAGCACAGAATTCCCATGGTGCGGGGATTTTAAATTAATATAATTTGTAAAGTTTTGTTTAAATACGAGCGCGCGGGTCCGACGAACAAAATTTTTTTACTGGTGTGGCCTTAAGAGCAGCTTTATTTTTCTACAGACCTCTTGAATTTCTTTTCACTCAGATACATGCTCCGACTAACTGATCATCACCCCTTTACTACAACACCGAGTTTCTCTGAAACAACGGTTGCTGGAATTCAGGGTTTACAAAATGAAGAGTTACTATCAGAAAGCAATATCAGACCATTTGAAGAAATTCCTGGCCCTTCTGGTATATACCAACTGCCATATTTGGGGCTAATTTTACAAATGAGGCCATTCAGTAAGTCTGATATTAAACAAATAAAAAACAAGATGTGTTTGTGAAACACTGTGCCCCCGGCGGCAACAAAGTTCGAAAAAGCTATTCTTAGCATAAAGGTTACAGTCAAGGTCACAAGGTCATTGACCTTGGTGTCATTTGAAAGCACTTAATTAGTGAAGTAGGCATACCAAATATAAAGTCTCTATCTCCTATGGTTCAAAAGTTATACCGAAAGTTCTAAAAATCTATTTTTAGTACATAGGTCACAGTCAAGGTCAAAAGGTCATTGTCCTTGGTGTCAGTTGAAAGTGCTTATCTAGTGGAGTATGCATTTTAAATATGAAGTCTCTATATAATAATATATATATGGCATATTGTGTCCAATATAAACCCACTATCATCTGTCATTCAAAAGTATTCACCAACGTTAAATTTTATGAAAATTAGGTCAAACATGAGGTCAAGGGGTTAAATATCATAGCACGCTCTGACACATCTTGTTACAGTTAATGCACATATGACAAGACATTTCTAAATACACTATGAATTTTAACCCTATGACCTTGAAGTTTGACCTATTTATCAAAAACTTTTTCTTTCCTTATGTATAACTTTTGATTGAGAAGAGATAGGGCTTTGATATTTGACATGTGCATTACGTGTATCAAGTTGTTTTGTTGCCATAAACTAGTGGTATCCAATACACTAAGACACCAAAAGAGGTGGAATTTGCTTGTTTTCAAACAAAAATAAGAAAAAAATCCACCCATACTTATAATTTTTATTTCTCAGTCTACATCATTCAATTAAAAATATTTCATATTATCTACTCATACATGTTTATGTTTTAAATTATCTTTAGTTATACATGAATTCTTTCAGCAAATTACGTTAAAGACAATATGCAGCAAAGAGTTTTAAGTTGGACAAAAACATATGGGCCGATTTGTAAACAAAGACTAGGAAATGACTGGTACGTTTTTCTTACTGATCCTCGGGACGTAGAAAAGGTATTCCGAAATGATAGAAAGTATCCGTATCGTGGAATATTGCCACTAACCAAAGTGTACACGGAAAGAACTCGAACAAAACCTGGACTGACAGCATTGTAAGAAATATTATAGTAATTGTTTTTATCTCAATCATTATATGTTCCTGTCCGAAAAAAAATGCAATTGCACACAAGGGACAGAAATTAGTACGAGGGTTGTCCCGTAAAATCGTGGACAAAGCGTTTTTCTCGAAAAGTAATGGGCGCACTTAGCTGAAAATTTCAGTAAATGTTTATTTATCATATTTAAGTGCATGATAATTTTTTTGATAAAATATAGGCAAAAATAAATATTTTATTACTCTTGAATGTGCACGGGGTATTGTCCTACGGTGCACGGACAAAAAACCAAGGTCTTACTAAAAAATACACAAGTTTGAAATCACAATAAAAATTTTAAATACATAAGATTTGGATTAAAATTTTCCTAATTCAATTCCACAATCAATTTTGTAGTCTTTGTAAAAATTTTAAGGCATTTCGTTAATTTTTGGCAGTTTCTCGAGCATTCGAAATGGGAAAGTGGTAAACACAACACACGAAAAATGGCGACGTTTTATGACGTTACGGCGCACCGGAGAGCAGTTCCGTTTTGATTCGATGTTGTAATGACACCTTTAGAGACTTGAAATGACCATAGAAGAAAAAAGATTATAAAAATATCACCATATCTTAAGTATACAAATGAAATAGGAGTTTTCTTAGCGAAGTCTTTTTTAATCGAGTCCCTGGGGAGTACAAAACATACGGACAATCTCCTAATATAATAGCAAAAAGACGCTGTCACAGTAGACCGCCGATATGAGATTTTCTTTTAGTTGAATGATGGTGAGAATATTGTCCGTAACTTACTGATAAATCTTCAGAAGATCGCATAAGGGTGCCAACTGGTTCTTCGACTGTTTATGGAGACTAAAGAATGTGTATCAATGAAATTCCTAAATTTAAGTCGGACTCATCCAACTTCATTTTCAGCAAAGATAAAACGTGACGCTGTTTTAAACACTTTGACGTTATAATCCATGCGCCGCAAGGTGATACAATACATGGCATAAAATCACATAATTTGTTTATTTATGCATATATTTATCTGAAATTTGCTGTGTATATTACTAAAATATGTACTAAACAATAGTGAAAATTTCAGAACGCAGTGAAGTTTATTTTTTACACTAGACAACTTGTCCACGATTTTACGGGACAACCCTCGTACATACCTATACTGATATTTTTTGCCATGTATTAAAACGTGTTTTTAGCCGGGCTTATTGCTCAAAGAGCAATTGCCGGCTTAGGTGATCCTGTTCAAGGCAGGATGTTGACCCCATAGTCGCCATTTTAAAGTTACGTGCAAAAATATATAGTTCTTACTCTCAACCGCTTTTGAGATAATACAAACGCTAAATAAAGCAACAAAAATAAAATGAAGTTTTATCTATATAAAATAAACATTAGTAGTAATGACTTTGAAAACTTCACAAGTCAAAGAACATAGTTCATTAGCGTAAGGATTTTTGATAATCAGTGTTACCGTAGTTCTCTACACATACGAGGTAAAGCAGGAGAGGGAACCAGACTGGCCTGTTTGTTTACATTCAGCTGCGGTACCAGTTTAATTCTGATTCTGACAAAATCGGACCGTGGTATTAGGATTGAAAAACTCACTGTCAGTGTCTTATCATTTATATTGATAGATTTAAAATAATTTTTTCATCAGAATATAAACGTGATTCATGTAAGAAATCCATTCTACTCTGTAAATGAACCCGGCTCTCTGTACTTCTGAGTACTTTGATTTTTTTTAATTTCCATTTTAAAGAGTGTTGCCTTTTCAACAATAATCTAATTACAATAAAAAATGATATCTTAATTAATACTATTCCTCGATCATATTTTAAAGTTTTGTTTGAATTGCTGTACAATGCTTTTTGTCGCTCTTTTTTTCCTGGTGATCTAATATGTTTCTTAGAAATGATGAAGAGTGGTTTGCCCTGAGGAAAACGTCACAAAGAGCCATTTTGCGACGGAAGTCGGTCCATAAATACTTGCCGGCCATTAGTGCAATTGCCGATGATTTTGTCGATAAATTCCGTCATAAAGATCGTATTGATGACGTAATACAGCATTTAATGGAATTCTCAACAGAAGGTAAAGTTATTTGACGGGAGTTTGGCTTGAATTTTACAATAAACTAGTGCT